ATAATCAAGCACTTTTGCTTCACGATAGGAAGCTTGACAAAAATGTTTCTGATCCCAGTAATTAAGTAGTAAATATGACTTAAAATCATTTTTATCTTTTGGCTTATTTTGGTGCACCCTGCGTTAATCTTGTTAGCTTGAGTCAATAAAACAACATCAGCATTGACTTTTTGAGTCGATGCTCGGCTGCTCAACTCGAGTCGAGCCCATTTTTCTTGACTTGTTTCAGTCTCTGGTCGGAATGTCAAGTCACAAAGTTTTGGATTTTCTAGTCTATCTGACTTAAAAGGATAATATGATCGGTGCAGATCAAACCCTTCTTTTTGTCTAGAAAGGAGTCAGCGCGATTCATATTTGAATTCCGCAGGGATATGCTGAAAAATTGTCAGCTAAAATTATGTTTTTACAGTAGTTTAATTTATCTTCTATCCTTCTAAAATGTAATATGATTATTATTTTTGTCACCGATATCACCATACAAAATTTCATGCTAATTTGTAGTTACTACATAATATTGTGTACAATTTCTGCGTGTACTACAGTCAATTCTAATTTCTCAACGAATCTAGGGAAAAATATGCTAATAAAATACTCGAAACCATGTTTTTCAGGCTCCGATCATGATCTTGAGTGATGCAAATTAATAACTACACAAAGATCTATCGCAAGCCATTCTCTATAGAATATGCATATCGACGTTTGTGTTGAATAAATATTTGCAGTCATAGACGATTCTACTTTATTAGACTTGTATTACATTAGTCAACTTCACTTCTTTGACTCTATTACCCCCTTGTGTCTTATTTTAGTTCCTTTGAAAGTTCCTTAATTCGACAGTAATTGAATAAGATTTACATAAACTGACTTGATATTCTTTCGAACTCGAATTTACTTTGTTCAGATTTAATATGAGTTGATCTCAATTTAGCACACGTCGTGTTTGTACGCTTTCCTTTGATTTCAGCCTGAACAGATTAATTTATCTTAGAACCCAATATAAGTAACGGAAAGAGGTTTAGTATAAACAGTAGAAAATAGTGACAACTCTATATCAGAAAATTATAAACAAATTATTATATGAAAATAGTAAAAACACGATTATTGACATGATTTACTCGCCTTGTTCAAAATTAATGAAATTATGAGTATTATGCTGATGACAATTTCCATGAATTAAATTAAATATCCCAACATATATTAATCCAAGATAGCAAAAGGCAAATAGCTCATGCTGATGTCTTCGTCCATTCTCAACTATATCAATTAAAAGAACAAGGCTAAGTGCACCATTTTTCATGTATTTTCTTACTTTGCAATAACAACCCAACAGAACGAAATCCCCAGCTGTGCGATAAATCAGTATTTATACGCAGCTGCATATTACTTCGATACTGTTTTCACGTTTTAAGTGTTATCGAGTTGCAGGATATGTTGGAAATTCGATAATTCATTTTGTACATTTTATTAGTGTCAGTATCACGACTGTCTCAATGTACTCTGTGCATAAGCAGAATCATTCTCGTTAAAATGCCTGGTGAACTCGAGACACATATTGAAGACGATACACGAACAAATGCTACTTCAAGCCATGACCAAAATCGACAATATCTGACTGCTAAAGTGTATGAAGACACATTCTATGAATTAAATGTTCAACTCGATTGCAATGGAAACTCAAGCAGAGATCCACACAACACCATCTGCAGTCGTGATCTAAGTGTGAGCGTATGGATTGATTTTAACGACAACGGATACGACGAGGAAGAATCTCGACATCTCCAGCAAGCTTTTTCAATCGAAGGCCAACCTACAGGTATATATAATTTAACAGTATATATACCTAGAATTGATGATACGACTATAAAATATGGACCTCATCGTATGGTGATAACTGTGATGCCAAGCAAAGAGTATAAAATAAAATGTGGCGATTTTCAATACAAAGAAACACGAAAGTACACAATCGATATCATTCAAAAAGAGCCATACACTACAGGTAAATCTATTATCTTGCTGCTAACTACAGACTTTGTGCCATAACGGTACGTTTTTGACAACTTTTATTGAGGAGAACTCTTCTTAAATATTTTGTTCTTCTTCATTCCAGAAATTTTCGTTATACGCAATTAATTTTTTTATCGAAAGAAATCATTTCTGTCAAACAAGATTAATTGAAATCAAATATTTACTGTTTTATGTGTTTACCTTGAAACAACACTTTTACAAAAAAACTCTACGTCAAATGTGATATTTGGCTGTTGTTCTTTAATGAGATGAGCACATACAGGTAGCACACTCATTAAAATACAGTATTTTTAGATACATTGCTGCTCAAAACTATATACTCCTTTGAGAATTTTAACATCTGGAGAAGTTAATGTCTGAGAATATGTCTACAAATAATCCACAAGAAATATAAATTAGCAATGTCACCAGCATCAAAGTAACTCAAGTTAGAACGACGTCATAATAGATAACACCCTTGATCACTGAAATCTAATAGCTCAAAAATAGAAAGGTCTGTGTAGTTCACCGATTCCTTATTTCGCATGCCTGTATAATAAGTCTTTATTATTGATATTAATTTCATTGAAGTTCATCAAACTATTGTTGAACGTGATCGTTATTTTACTGAAAACATGGGCATTCATAAAAACAAAGGAATACAATTGAGTGATCAATAAATGAGCGAGACTGTGAGAAATCGATTTGAAATTTTCATGAGATGTTCTTTCGTGATTGACTACTGTGTTCTGAGAGTTTCAGATGGGAAAGTCTTTCTAAATAGAAATCGTACACTGATGAATATTGTAAAATGATCAAGACTCATGAATACCATTACACAAGCAAATGAGCTTATCTTTTGCACAATAAAGGATCATAATTTTCGCTATACTTCAACGGGAAAATATTGATCATTCGTCAGATATGAGATTAAAAATAGGACATCATTTAGAAAGTTCATGTTTTTGCTATTTGTTTATCAAAGCAAGAAATCGTGTTCGTTTGCTAACAACTCACTGTAAAAATAATTTTGCATGACTGCAAAATTTGCGGAACAACAAAAATCGTATTCTGATAGATATTTGGATTGATCTCGACATGAGCTTTTATCGAATTATGTTATAAAAATATTATACAGTTTGTATAATGATACAGAAATATCATACTTCCAAGACTATTAAGGAGAATTAGTATACCTTGCGTTGGTTTAACGTAATATAAGAGTTTCAATAAAATTTTCATCAGTTTCATTCCAATACTGCAGACTCTTACTGGGAGTAACAGCTTTTTACGGCTTCCTATGAACTTGAACCTTCCGAACAATTTTCTCAGTTAATTTTTCACATATGGAAACGGTCGCTCGCTTTCACTGAAAAAAACAGTATAAAGTGATCTTTCTAAATGGTATGCTATTTTTAATCTTATATATGACGAATGATCAATATTTTCCCGTTGAAGTATAGCGAAAATTATGATCCTTTATTGTGCAAAAGATAAACTCATTTGCTTGTGTAATGGTATTCATGAGTCTTGATCATTTTACAATATTCATCAGTGTACGATTTCTATTTAGAAAGACTTTCCCATCTGAAACTCTCAGGACACAGTAGTCAATCACGAAAGAACATCTCATGAAAATTTCAAATTGATTTCTCACAGTCTCGCTCATTTATTGATCACTCAATTGTATCCCTTTGTTTTTATGAATGCCCATGTTTTCAGTAAAATAACGATCACGTTCAACAATAGTTTGATGAACTTCAATGAAATTAATATCAATAATAAAGACTTATTATACAGGCATGCAAAATAAGGAATCGGTGAACTAAACAGACCTTTTTATTTTTGAGCTATTAGATTTCAGTGATCAAGGATGTTATCTATTATGAAGTCGTTCTAACTTGAGTTACTTTGATGTTGGTGACATTGCTAATTTGTATTTTTTGTGGATTATTTGCAGACGCATTTTCGGATGTTCAACTCTCATAAGTGTGAAGATTCGAAGGGGAGCAGAACTTCGGTCAGTAGTATATTTATTATTGAAAGATCGTGTATCTTGGTTCCAAACTGATATATCAACACAAAATATTCTATTATTACGTAACGCCAAAAACAAATATGTTAATTAAAGACATATGATCTTTCTACTGAATAGAAAGTCAAATTTCAATACCATCAAAGGATCATATGCTGTACAAAGACTCTGAGTCATTTTAAATCCTTATTAGTTCATACTCTTCACATGATTAAAAGAAACGTTTGATAGAGATGCCTTCCGGAAGTATTCATGTGAAAACTATTACTTCGTCCATAGAATAACTGAATCAACAGCTTAGTTTTCTTTTTTATCAAACGAATATGTTCAATTGTATTGGCGTTACGATTTGCCACACAAAGACACTCAAGATAGCTTATGTCAGTGAATAGTACGATTGTGTATCTTCAAAACAGCGTCGAAGAAAAGGAATAATTTATCAATCAAAATGCTGCTATATTCTTTTCTTCGTAGATAGTGAACACATACTATCTTCGTTTAGTTTCTTCTTTTACCAAGGAATTTCTCCACAAAAGGTCACCAAGATATATTATCGCATTTTCGGACCATGTAAACAATCAAAATGCGTTAGTATACGACGTTTTTATAGTGTATACCATCGATTTACTCTCTGTTCTCGTCGATTTTCAAGAAAAGAATTCTCTCGATTGTTACAAATACGTTCGCAAAAGAAATGTGTTACACCGTGTCATTATAATGAGAAACGTGTAGATTGCTTTCTGTGATATTTATTTCATCTTAGTATGTCTCTGTACATACGATTGTAATATGAAAACTATAAAATATCAGAAAATAATTGCATTCAAACAGATATGATTTAGAAAAAGTTTTGCATCAAGTATGAATAATACAAATAGCTGTGTGATGTTCAAGCGAGTTCAATTATCATTGAATAATAAACAAGATAGTAGAGTCAGGTTGATATTATGTGTAGTATGAGATGTTATACATTCGTTGTCATCTTCTAGTTCATTATACTGAATATCGTGAATGTTTTTCAATTGTAGTCACACAAACTATTACAATTCCATGCTATATATCCTTCGCTAAAATTAATCTTGTCATAATGGCTGGAGAGAAAGGAACAGAGATTCGAGATGACAAGCCATGGAGTGAATTAGCGCTTAGTTATGAAAATCAACACCACATGGCCGTTACACTTTTTGAGCACACTGTCTATCTCCTACGCATCCAGTTGGATTGTTCTTCACAATTGGGAACCGAATTAACTGAAACTGGTTGTAACCTTGCTCAAGATGTGAATGTTTGGATTGATCTAAATGATGATGGAAAATTTGATCCATCAGAAATCGGAACTCCTTATCCTTGGCCCTTAACTAGTTATATGGCAGAAGGAATCTACGATATACAAATATATGTACCATCATTCGATAGCAGATATTTAACAAGTGGACCGCATCGGATGTGCATTGCTGTCGCGCCAAGTGCCTATTATGAAAGACAATATGGCCATTGTGACTACAGCGAGAAACGAGAGTATATGGTCACTATTATTCCAAGAATGAACTATTCTGGCAAGTATTCTCCTGTTTACTAGTGAATGTTTTTCTATTATAGTGTCGAATGAAAAGAGTCAAATGCTTCGTTTTAGTTTGCTATACAGAGTCAAAGGTTATTGGTGTTTGTTAACTGTTGCTTGCATTGCTGACTCTTTAAGAAAAGAATTCATTTTCACCGAAAATCAAAAATATATCAGTTATAATTTTTTTTCTGAATTTTTTTCAACGATAAGCAATTTATAAAGGGTATGAGAAGCTTCTGGCATATAGTTTTTAAACATGGCATATCGAATATTAATATCAAGGCTGAGATGAGATCATACTATATCTGTTCTGAAAGCATGCACGAAACTTTGAGAGTACACAATATTGATCTGTGTGGTGCATTTAGATAATGTATATATTCGTTCAAAAGTCTATCTCATCGAAGTATATACGATAACTTTTGATCAACTGAATAGTGTCTGTAAAGCAGAAATGAAACATACAGCTACTTCAAAGGAAAATTTTGATGCATTATAATCGAAAAAAAGAGTCTGCATTTCCGAAGCATCATATTTTTGATAGAAATAACTTACTTATTCGGTTATAGTTCAACTATCAGTTTACCTATTTACTAATACTTACTACTTCAAAAGTAGAGAGACACACAACACCATTTTAAAGAACATTTGCAAAGAGATCTAGTACACTATTCAATTAAACTAATTAATAATCATTACTAGGGAAGAAAGCAACATGCTCATTGTACATGCAGATTAAACTCTCAACATCATAATCGTGAAGTTTTTTATGTCAACTCTAGAAACATATTTTTCTAGAAATGCAAGTTGTAGACTTTTCCTCAAATGATATACATATTCGAAGTTGAGATTCATTAAAATTCAATGTTGCAGACTTTATTTTTCGTTTAATTTACAATTCACTATCACTTGTCCTAAAGTCTACTATTCTAGTTACTTCCACACGACACAACACTTGTTCGAACTCGGTTTTCGACTAGCATGATCCATGAAGACATTTAGATTTCGTAGAGAATGGAGTTCTTAACGTAAGTGTCTAAGTTTCGAGAATTAGATTGTATTTCTCTCAATAATGACATCTTCAGTGATTTACGATATTGAATCAATTGTTATCAAGCATTGAAAATTTAATATTCATTATTATTACTGACAACTCCGCTAGATATTGTTTCATGACGCTGTTTATTGTGATGGATTTGCAGTAAAATATTCTTTCACTATGCATCTCTAAGAAATAATCTAATTTCTAGACTTTTGAAAATGTAAGGTTGTTGCTGCTAGCAAGTTTCTTTCTGATAATATTGATTCATAGTGATTTTATCTAATAAGTTTCTTGTACATTTTTGAGAATGTTACCTGTGTCACCAAACGTTTTGGTACAGAAGGCAGTTTCTGCATTACAATTCACCAACTATGTTCCTGTAAATCCGCATAAATGAGTATTTCAATGATTGTGTACACTTTTCAATTTATTTCAATTATTATTTATTCTTCAAAAGTTCAGAAAGTTTTGTAATATAAGAAAAATGTTAAACCATATGCGATACAATAAGCTATTTATGTTTTGCATTTTGATCAAAATGTAATGATTTGCTTTTTGAATTATTTTTTTGCAGCAATTGATGCTACTCCCATATCTGCACTACCACATAACGCGGCATGTTCTCCTGATGTTGGTAAAATTATTCTTGTTATGATGGCTGGTGAACATCGAACACAGATTCGGGATGATGAGTCAACGACAGCTGCATTGACTGGCAACACTCAAAATTATCAACATCGATATATTGTACTGTATGAAGACACCATTTATCTGCTACGCATCCAGTTTGAATGCACTGCACCATCAGACACATCGTCAGTTGACAACAACTGTAACCTTTCTCATGATGTGGCTGCCTATATTGATCTCAACAATGATGGGAAATATGATAATACAGAGTATGCAGCTCCCTACCGCTGGCCACTCACTAGCTATATGCCAAAAGGTATCTATGATCTACAAATATATGTACCTATAATCAATGAAACAAAGATGAAAAGTGGACCACATCTTCTGCGCCTTGAAGTAATGTTAAATGAGCAATATCGTGAAAAATGTGGCAAGAATTACTACAGAGAGACACGAGAGTATAATGTCACCATTCTTCGAAATATGAAGCAATCAGGTAAATACTTTTTCTCTACGAACTAGAAACATAGAATTTTAGGAGTGTGATTTGACTATTCCTATTATGAACAATTTTGTTTGTGTAACATGATGATTTCAACTTTGAAACAATGTATTGCTGCCATCATGAGTATGAATATTTAGGAAAAGAATTATTGAAGAGTAAATTCTCCTGCAATCAGAAATATATTTTGGAAAAGAGTTCAACATTTCAAGTATAGAATAGATTTTGAAATTTAACATATTACTGACGCGTTTTCATTCAGTGAAGTAAACGACATTGTCTGGAGCAAGTTTTTATACAAGTCTATTATGATGAAAGTTGCATGAAGAAATAGAGAATATTTTTGTGAACGTATACTCAAGTTCAAGAAAATATTCTCCTAATCTATATTGGGCATCATCGATCAATATTGAAGTTGAAAGAGAATATGATAACTCAGATACCGAGAAATAGTATTTTTATAATTTGTAACTATATCATTTATACATGAAACTTTGAAAGAGAACGATGATTTTATGTAAAACTAGTATTTTAAACAGAACTTCGACGATTTTTTTCTCTCTAAACATAGAAGCCATTATTTTTTTCAAAAAGCAAATGATACAGATTTACTGTCGATCAAATTCATCAGTAATCTAGTTGTGACCATTGAATTTCACAAAACAAAAATCCTATTAGAACATTCTCTAATAAATGTTTCTGATTTGTCATTTATGGTCATAAACAGTAATACGCTAGAAAACAAAAGAAGATTTTATTTTAGGCTGAAGATGATATGTTCTGAAAAATTTTTTTCCGAGAACTGCAATCACTTTTAGTAGAAAAAATAAATATATCTGTGCATACTTTTGATTTTATTCTATGTTTCTGTTGATATGAACATGATTAGATATGATCAGAAAATCGAACCATACGAATAGCAATATGATGTTATAGATAATTAAAAAGAAACTACAAGTGATTCTCATTACCTCTTGACCGGAAACGGGTATTCTTAATAACAAGCTCTGGCTTAGTGAAAAGTACAAGAACTTGTGACTAATAAAATACATTCGGTATTTACAGACCAATAAAACGTAACAGAGTTGCATCGCATGAACGAAGTTTTAAAATTTCTATGATACGATAGACTACATAGTTTTCTCAATTGAATTCATATAGAACACCTACTTTTCTAAATTTTCATTATTTCTAGTCGATATTGGCGACCCATATTTGACATTAAGTGATTCAATATGTTCTCAAACTAGTGGCAAGGTCGTGCTTGTTATAATGGCTGGCGAGCAAGGATCACATATTCGTGATGATACACCAATAAATACTATCATCAGACAGGATCAAACTCGACACTACATGGCCGTTACCTTATATGAAAATGCTATCTATCGAATACGTATTCAATTGGATTGCGACCAACGCTCCACCAAGGGTTCATTTAAAGTCAGTTGCAATCTTGCTTATGACGTCAATGTCTTTATTGATCTAAACAACGACGGAATATTCGACGAATCAGAAAGCCGTATTTCTCACCGATGGCCGCTACGTAGTACAATGACGATAGGCATTTATGATTTGGAAATTCCTATACCGAGTATCAATGAACAAACTATGAGAAGTGGTTCACATCTTATGCGTGTGGTTGTGAAAGCAAGTGATGAGTATACGAGAAAATGTGGTAGAACTGACTACAGCGAAACAAGAGAGTACACAGTCAATATTATCCAAAGAACAACAATATATGGTGGAGGTAACGCGCTTTTCTAATTACTGATTAGAAGTTTTCGATCCAATACGGAATGTAGTTTTCTTTAAAAACGGCAGTAAACGAACTCACTATTATAGTACTCTAATTTATCAACTGGTCGATGCGGTTTTGATAGATCCAAAAGCATAGAATTGTGATAGTTGAGTTGTACAAAAGCAAAGGGTCGTTTAATGAAAAAAAATCGTGAAACATTGCGAGTCTAAGAAATCTAGTTGATATCATTGGTGTTGAAATGTTTCTCGGCAATGAAAAAGGTAAATGCTTCATGTACGCTGCTTTAAACTTGACTGTGTAGAAGTAGAAAAAAATTGGATGCATTTGAACCATTATCAACTTTACAGGTTTTCTATTCATAAAAAGTGCGTTTTATATGAAATGCTCGACTTCTATTCTAAAACTATCAGCAAAACTTGTGTCAGTCTCTCGTACTCACTCGCATAATGATTCCATCAATTTTTTTTTTTTGATAATAATACATTGCATTCTCTTGTTTAGGCAACAAAGTCATGTATTGTATGCCTGGCAGCTTTGCCTGTTCAGAAGGCAATAATGCTATTTTTATGGTGAAGTTATTGGGTGAGCAAAATACAGAGATTTTGGATGAAACAAAAAAATGTAGCTCTACAAATAATTATAATGATCGAAGCGATATAGCTGTGACATTGTTCGACAATACAGTTTATGGTCTTCAAATCGAATTGTGCTGTGTTAAACAATCGGACTATGATAATTTAAGCAGCCAAGACTCGTCTGTGTTTCAAACACACTGTGACAATGCTCGCTATCTTGGTGTATGGATAGATTTCAATGATGATGGTACATTTGATGAACGTACAGAACGGTTAGCTCCTAACGATTGGTATAGAGAAGATCCTCAAATGACTCGATATGATTTAAGTATTGCAATTCCAGGAATTGATGATAGATATTACTTCAGCGGACAACATCGAATGCGTATTGTTCTGTCACAAGATGAAAGAAATCGTAAGCCATGCCAAGCCACTGGTTACGGTGAAGTACGAGATTACACAGTACAGATCATGCAGACAACTGCACATTGAAACGACTGATAAACGTTTTATTGACTCTATATTATTCAAGAATCTTCTAATGCATTTTCTTTCTATTTATTTATTAATCTAGAAATAAAACTAGCACGTCGCTACTTGGACATTGCATAGCTAAATTGTTAAAATTTTGGAAGGGCATTGTGGGCAATCTTTCAGCACCATTCATATGAAATTAAAATTTGATGCAGAATGGAGCCAACTTAAACATCATTGAGAAGCATTACTATACCAACCACCATTCCTAGAGAGTTTAAAAACGAACAGTTGTCAGTTTTTTGTTACCCTAACAGACATATCTACACTGAAAACATAAGGTTCCATAGGGAACTTAAAGAGTCCCATGGTAGTCTACTATACTTGAAAAGATTTTGTTCGCACAGATGAAACCTCAAAAGAATATAGTATCATGTATAGTTTCGTAAAAAGCCTGTTCAAGGTTTAGTATCAAAAAAAGCTTTCGTGATAAACCTTTTCGGGCATCGAAAATCGAAAAGGTTTCGTAAAATACTGTTCAAACTTCATTCCAAAACATGAGCATTAAAGTAGACATACCTGCTCGAACTTCGTTTCTGATCGAGTGGAGTGAAAATCAATCACTAATTGGTCCACTGCTAATCATATTTTGCATGGAGTAAAATATTTCCAATATGCAGTAGTCAAAATAAATCAAAATGGTCGAAGTACTAAAGATTATCAAAAAAGATTTCTGTATTGCAATTTCTAATCGCAATAGAAACTAATCGCATACGTTCTCTGTTGATGAATCCAAGTACATTCACTTAAGTAAAAGTGTTAAACAAAGATATGGGGATATTTTGGGGGTTGGATTAGGACTCAGGTGGTAAGTTAGGCATATAGATATCCATAAGGAGATTCGTTATGGGGTCAGATTATGGTTGATGGGATCCGTCAGGAGGTTAGATTTACATTAAGGAGGTACATTAACTGCTATCTAAGAACAATCCATTTCCTAGAAAACCCAAAATACTCTGAAGTCCATTCGAAAGCCTTTAGAGATTTGGAAGATGGTTTCCGGATGCTACCAGCGCTCCTGTAAATATCTTACTGGTTGTCGAGGGTTCTGAAAAAATTACATTCTCTAAAAAATCGATTTCAACACTCTTAAAGTAATTTGGAATCCCTTTTTCCTGATATTGGAAACCCAATCGTATTTTCAGAAACCGTCAGAGTAATTTGTAAGCTTATATCGTCAAAAAATTAAGTTCAAGTCGTATGAGGTATGCGAGAATACACTTTCGGCTTCTGAAATGTTGCTCAGACAAATCAAAGAGTTTCCGAGTATACTCACTCTCGAAAACGTATGATAACGAACCGAAAACGGACCCTGAATTTTTATCCCATGCAAAAAAGTTTTTAAAGCTTTCAATGTTTTCAGAAGTTTCTGCAGAATGAAAAATATCACAGTCCTCAAACCTCTCAAAAGAACATGTCAGTACTCCATTTTTTTTTACATCTTTGAGTGTGGATGTGGGTGTGGGTAGAGGTGTAAGCCGCCGCCGCTGTGAAAAAGTAAATTTAGCTGGTGCACCGCCGCTATGGAAACAAATTTTGACCATTAAAGGCGTCACCGCTGTTTGACATTTCGGCTTACACCTCTAGGTGTGGGTGTGGATGGGCGTGGGTTGGGGTGTGGGAAAAGAGAAAGAACCCACACCCTTCAATAAAAATTTATCTTTGCTTTTCTACCGTAGCTATATGAAAGCTTCGTTTCAATTCGACAATTCGAATTCGAATAAAATTTTATCGTTTGCTTTTGCCGTAAAAAAGGGGATGTGCAATGAAAATTTTCATTTATATTCGAACTCGAATTAGGTAGCTAATCAGGCAACTTTGTCAGCGAATTTAATACAGTAGTTGAATAAAATCGTGCTTTGTGTTATTCGTAGATCATGTGTTAGCGTATGGTTAGGTTCTCAGCAAATCTGCTTGGAAATGAAGTAAATTACTTGAACTGGTTCTTGTTTTAGATTATTCATTTGTAAGGTATTTATGGGTAGCTTAAATCTAGTCGGATCTTATTCTCAATCGAGAAACATATTTGAACAAAATGCGGTCATGTATTTTTCATTTGTGATGTGCTTATAAAAGTTGTGAATCACATCGGAATCTAAATATAATTGAGCACAATAGTTGAACAAAAATGTGCTGTATGTTATTCATTAGACATGCATCAGTCAATGAAAGATTCTGTTCCTGCTCGATTTTGAAATTGATAAGAACATCAGAATAAAGTGTTAAATAAAATGAGTAGATATTTTCATAATAGGATTTCGACGTTAAATCAACAATCGATTGATTCTAATATTTAATGATATCATTTATACATTCTTCTTTGAAATCAACAATTTCTGTACTCTCTCATATTTGAATATTTGTTTTTTTTCTTTGTAGAGAACAACATGTAAAAATAGTTATCACGATTGATAAAACATTTGAACATTATTATTATTTAGTCAGTTATCTGCATATTTCTCTCGCTTATTCACTATATCCATTTATTCCTTATTCTATTTGTTCTCTAACATTTATTTTTTTTCTTAATTTATATTTTATTTAATCTTTCCACAATTTTATTTATTTATTTTTGAATCTATTTAAGGCTTTAATTTCAATAAGCAGCATACTTTGAAAAATATCGTAATTTATTATGATATATTAGACAGAGAGTAAAAGACTGGACCGTATAACCTTTTTTTATGGTGACAAGAGCTCTATGCAATTAGACACATAATCACAGGTGTCTATCGTCTTTTATACAGTGACAATCGATTGTTAAAGCATTGCTCTACTTGTCACTTGTTAGAGTCACTACCAAAATTGATAGCATATTGCTTTGATAAGGAACAGAACGTCGATATCAGGTGAATCTTAACCAAAGTTAGTCCAAAAGCAGTTGCATAATTAAATCTCATCATGTCAAGTGGAAGATTTGTTGCGTTCAATTTCTATCTTCTATTTACAAATTATTTCAATATAAAAAAATGCAACATAACTTCATAAAAACTATTATTCCTTTAGAGAGTGTACATAATATTGCAGATCTGGTGACCAAAAGCATAATAGACTTACAAGTATATTGTATCTTTATTCGTGTATTTTATAATTCCCGTGATTTTTCTCATTGTTTCACGTATCATTAGTCAATAATATACGTTGAGATCGCCCATGTCATATTACACACAACAAAAAGACAAGCAATATATCGACAAAATTTATCCCATACATTCAACGCATGATCATAAACTGTTATTCATGAAAGAAAGAGTACTGTGACCAAGAAGGAGAGAAAAAATATTTAGTAAATAAAATAGTATGATAAAAGAAAAGTACATGATCATTGCTCCTTTGTCATCTCATGGTAAAGATAATATTACAAGAACAAGAAAAAAAAACAATGCTGTTTATACTCTTTCAGCCAGTGCAAAGTTTCTATCATTCTTGTTTTTATGTATATAATAAAACCTGCTTATATCACAGAATTGTAGGTAAAAGTTTATTAATAAAATAGATCAATGGAAGAAACAAATTCAAAATCATCCGGTAAGTCTCAATTCTTACCATGAGACACAATAAAAATAGAGTAGTTCTCTTTTTAATAGTACCTTTTTGGCGTTTGATGCGTATTGCTGTCACATTTCTTGGGTTTCTTGGAATGATAGCACATTTTTCACAAAAAGTGAATGTTGGCATTGCTCTTGTCTGCATGGTTAATCATTCAGCAATTGAACAAAACAAATTAAATTCTACTACTACACAAATTACACGCACAGATGATAGTTGTCCTCAAACAAATAACACAAATCATATTGTAGATAAATTGCATAAAATATTCATTTATTCACTTCTATTCATTATAGGAAGGTCCTTTTATTTGGACAAAAAATATGCAAGGTATCATCTTAGGTGCTTATTTTTGGGGTTATATTATAACTCAAATACCAGCTGGATATTTAGCTGGCCGATTTGGTGCTAGATTTATATTTGGTGGAGCGATGATTGTATCAAGTTTAGTTACTGTGTTCATGCCAATAATTGCAGGTGTACATTGGCTATTATTTTGTATGCTTCGATTATTAGTTGGACTTGCACATGGAACCATTTGGCCATGTATGACTGTAATCATGGCTCATTGGGCACCAGTACATGAACGTGGAAAACTGATGGGCTTTATGAATGCTGGTAATTTCTTTTAGTTTTACCTATAATTTAAACTGTTGCTGTCATTATACTGGTAGGCGCACAAGCTGGAAATGTATTTGCTTTATCGATTGGTGGATTGATGTGTTCATGGGATTTTGCTGGTGGTTGGCCATTGATATATTATTCAGCAGGTAGATACTAATGCTTGATTCAAATACTATATTATTCTACTAAAAAAATACACTAGCTATTTTTGGTTTTGTTTGGGGTATTATTTGGATTTTATTCTATACAAATTCACCACGGAATCATCCATCTATTAGTACACAAGAAAAAGAATATATTCTTCAAAATACTCAGCAACATTTATCTAATAGTAACAATAATGATTTTCATGCTCCATGGCGAGCTATTCTCACATCACCAGCTTGTTGGGCATTATTTATTGTTCACACGTGTAATAATTGGGGTACTTATACGTTTCTAACTTCCATTCCTAAATATATGGATGAAGTTCTAAAATTTAATATTAAATCAGTATGTAAAAATACTTTATCAATTCATTTAATTTAGTTTTAAAATTTAGAATGGACTTCTTTCAGCTTTACCCTATATTGTCTTATGGTTGAATATAAATATATCAGGTATTATAGCTGATTTGATCATTCGTAAAAACTTGCTGACAACTACGAACACAAGAAAATTATTTAATATACTTGGAAATCTTTTACCAGCAATATTTGTGCTTGCTTTAGCATTTGTGACATGCCGATTAAAATATGTTGCTGTCGTGTTATTAACAATCGGTGTTGCATTCCAGTAGGCACATA